CTTTTTTTATCTTTTTAATCATTTATTATAGTTTATTATAAAAAACAGGTATAAAAATATTTTTATTTTTTATTTATAAAAAATTTTATATTTTTATTAATATTTAAATAAAAAAAAAAAATTTTAATTATAAAATTTAAACAATTCAAATCAAAGAAAATAAAATATATAAAAAATAATATAAAATATAAAATGGAAATCTCATTACCACAAAAATTTTTTGAAGCTCTCCCATACGAAGATGAAGAAAAAATTCAAAAAGAACAAAGATATAGCGATAAAACCCATTTCGAAATTACTATGGCAATTAATGTACTCTTGTACCTCAGTACCTGTTTCCCATCAGATGAAGAAACCCCTGAATTAACTATAAAAGAAAATGAATTTAAAAGAATTAAACAAATTTTAGAATTTTATAAAAGGGATTAATAATGTATATTTTAAAAAAATAAAAAATAAAAAATAAAAAAATTAAAAAATAAAAAAAATTAACTTTATATAAAAAAATAAAAATAAAAAATTTTATTCAATTGTTAAATTACAAGATTTTTTATAAATTGATTTAAGCTTTAAAATAATTTCACCAAAAGATGGTGGTTCATCACCCCAGCAATCATCAATTAAGGCGGCAACCTCCTCTTGAATACCGGTTAGAGGTAAACGGACACCACTTGAAACTAACTCTAACCAATAATCTCTCTTATTTTCGAGAATATATGGGATTGGGGGTTTGGAGGTCATTACCTCCCACATAAGAACCCCAAAAGAGTAAGTTTCGCTTTTGATCGAATAATTCTTTGATTCTTTGGCTCTGGGATCCAAGTATAAAGAACTTTCCAAAATATTGTTTTGATCTTGGGTACCAGTTACCTTTGAAACTCCAAATTCGGCAAGTTGAATTAAAGAACCATTTAACCAAACAGTATCAGATGAAATATTACAGTGAAGAATACCTTTTTCGTGTAGGTATTTAATGGCACAGGCAATTTGAATAACCAAGTCTACACGAGCAAGATGTTTTAATTCTAAACCCTCTTTTCTTAAATAGTTCCCCAAATAATTTTGAAAAACAGTGTCTTTTGAAATAAAAGGGACATCCCCAAGAATTAGAAGGATTTTAATTTCATTTTCTTTTACCCCATCGTCTTTATAAAACTTGATGAAAGATGGCTTCAAGCCATAGATCCCTTGAAAAAACACACTAGTTCTAGAACTGGTTTTTACTGCATCTCCTTGTACTTTTAATATAAAGGACCCTAATTTTCCTATATATAAAGGTCTTTTATATAAAGGAATTTCACGGGCATCGATAGTTCTTAGTTTATTTCTATGTAAACCTTTAATGAATGAAACTGATTCTCTAGATTTAGAAGTCATTGTTTTTTTATTATTATGAAAATTAATTTTATTTTATTGATATTATTATTAAAAAGTATTTATAAAAAGTATTGAAAGAAATATAATAAAAATTATTTAAATAGTAAAAATTAAAAAAAATAATAATAATTAAAAAATAATAAAAAAATAAATTAAAAAACAATATCAAGTCATTATTATAATATCTTTAATTAAATTATTGCACTGTGCATTAAAAATTTAATTAAAGAAAAATTATTGCATTAATTTTGTATATCTTGAGCAGTTGGAAATTTCCAACTTGAATAACCAAATTAGTATAAAAAATTTATTAATAAAAACCACCTTCATACAATATACTACGTAGTAAATTGGATAAAAAATAACAAAATATATACTAACTTAAAAAAATAAAAATTTTTTAGAGGGTAAGTGTTGTATGTGAAAAATAAAATATTTATTATTTGAAAAAAATTATTGTATTAATGAACTTTTTTTTCAAAAATATTATACTCTTTTAAAAAATGAAAAGGTTTTTAATAGCTTCTATTAATGCTTCTATTAATCAAATTAGACTTATCATCATGATGAATTATTAAATTGAATATATTAGATGTAATTACCACCATAGAGTGTGAGAGGGTTAAATTTAATTTTAGGATTAATTTACAAAAAAAAATAATTCAAAGAGTAGAATTTTTTTAAAATTATAATAAATTAAAAAGAATATAGAGGGAAAAAAAAAAAAAAAAAAACAAATAATTAATATTTCAAATATTTTTTTATTAAACGTTATTATCATTTGGTAAATAACAATATATTAATAAATAACATGGAGAAAATAAATTAAAACATTTTTTTGAATTGCCATCACAAACAAATTAATTATATATTGTATATATATATGTAAAAAATAAACATTGTATAATTAAAAACTATCACATGAAAATTAATTTCTATTTATACCTATATATTTATATGAAGAGACAAAATTATTGTTAATTTAATGAATAACCACACTACTTTATTATTATTGGCCAATAACAATATTCATATTATATATATTTTTTTAATTTATATTTACATGTAATGTAAATATAACTGAAGCTTTCATTTTTATTATTGAATTCAATATATATTTATTATATTTATTTTAACCACTTTGTGTGAATTATATTAATTTATATCCTTATAGAGTAATATCATTTTTACTATTGATAAACGGATAGAAAAAAAAACAGAGACAATAGAAAAAAATTGCAATTTACTTTTTTTTGTAATTTGGGTGTGTGGTATAATTTTTTTTTTTTTTATTTTACCCCCACCACCACAAAAATATAAATTTAAAAAAAAAAAAAATATTGATATCCATTTATATGTAAATGGTAATAGTGAATTTATAAATCATTAAAAAATACAATTTGATCTATTCTCAAAGTTAACTCATTATTGGTATTTTTAAATATATATGTTTCACTTTATTTAAATTATGTTTTTATTTAAATTTAATATTTTTTTTTAATATTAATTTTTTTGAAAAAAAAAATTAAAAATAAAAACATTTTTTTATTTTTATTTATAATAATTTACAATCATCAAAAAAAAATAAAAATAAAAATAAAATAATAAATAAATACATAATAATAAATATAATATAATAAATATAATAAAATAAAATAATAAAACAAATATAAAATATACACAATAATAATATATATCTATATATTAATTAATTAATAATAAATTAATGGATAATTTCAGCATTGAATTGAATGAACATTTGCTAAGGAGAAAATATGAAAAACTAAAGAATATATACAAGAAATGTGCCCTGGAATTTAGTGAATCTGGTGAAATCTTTGCCGCCGAGATCTATCAAGATTTTTACGAAAGATCCAAATTTACTTTTACCGATGACAATCATTTATTTGTATTGCATGACCTTCAACAACTATCAAGAAATGTAACCTCCATCAGACTTGAATCTATAGGTGACCAAGAACCATTTGGCAATTATTTTTCAAGGTTAATTATTACAAGTAATATAAAGAAATACAAGATGTATATAGACTATAACCAACCTATTCTGCCGTACTCCATCCCAAATACTTTAAGAGAGATTGTGCTTCCATTTAATTTTAACCAAAGCTTGACTTTCAATACAGTCGAAAATAATGTACCAAAAACCATCCCTTGCTTCCCATCACATGGCCTAATTTCCCTTGACCTAGGTACTGAATTTAATCAAACGATACCATCTTTTGTTTTGCCTCAAACCCTTAAGACCCTATATCTATCGGTCCATTATAACCAACCATTATTACTGGACGCAATCCCCCAGTCGTGTACCTATATTTCAATGGGCAAAGTATATAACCATCCTCTGTATCCATGTGGCCTTTTTCCAAGCTCATTAAGAACCCTGATCCTCAGTGATCAATTTAATCATCCAATAGAGTATGGCCAGCTTCCAGAAACTCTCGCAGACTTACAATTTGGTACCAATTTTAATCAAGATTTACCCTTGGGCCTTTTACCAACTTTCTTATTAAAGATTTCTTTTGGCTCAAACTTTACAAGCATTTTTGAACCATCGCCATTTACTAGAAAGATTAAATTCGGAGAAAACTATCAAATTACAAATGATCACCTATTTCCAACAACTCTAAACGCTATAGGAATTAAGAACTCTGACCATGAACAATTACCAAATGTTTATAAATTAAAAGTACACTCTAATGTAATAAACCCACACTTTTACCCAACAGAATCCCTTAGACTATTAGAACTGTCCAATGTATCGCTATCACAATTAGAAACAGGTTTCTTAACTAATTTTAAAAAACTTCAATTTTTAAAATTTGGTGATAATTTCGATGCACCCCTTAACGAAAACCATCTCCCAAAAGACTCGTTGTTATCTCTAGAATTTGGTATACCATTCAATCAACCATTGTCATTAAGTAATATGAAGAAATTAAAATACATCAAATTTGGTGAAAGATATACCTACATCAACCATACGATCTTCCCCGATTCCATTCAAGCCATTACCTATGATAGTATTGCAAATATCAAGATCCTTAGTGACTCATTACCACAATCATTAGAATTTATTGAATTATCACATTCATTCTTTCAAAAACTATCAAATGACTGGTTACCAAATAGTATAAAAGAAATAGTTCATTGCGGAGAGCCAATCATCGATCCAGACTTCTATCTCATTAATTTAAGAAAATTCTATATTAATAGAAACAACCAAAGTATATTAAATGATAATCTTTTATTCGTTAACCAGTACTATAACATAATCGAGGTTTTTAAACAAAATCAAAATAATATAATTAAAAAATTGTTAGAATTTAAATAAAATAACTATATTTTTACATCTATAATCATTTTAAATAATTTTAAAAATAAAAATAAAGAAAGTATAACAAATAATAAATTTTATTTTTTTTTGTTTTTTATTTTTTATTTAAAGTTTTATTTGGTTTGTGTATGACATATGTATGTTGGGTGTGTGTATGTGTTTGATTAAATTATGTGATTATTATTTGTGATTAAATAATTGGTTTTGTTAATAAATAAAAAAAATATATTAATTTTTTTTTTTTTTTTTTTTTTTTTTTTTTTTTTTTTTTTTTTTTTACATAATTAAACATGATTTTGATTTTTCTTCTTGGACCTTTTCATAAATACCAGTTTCTGGAATAGTAACAGTTGTGGTTTCTTCAGATGGTGAAACTAATTTAACAATGGTACCTTCAACTGGTTGGCTCCATAAACCTTGTCTTGACCAATAGAATTCATTTTCGGTTGTTGTAGAATCACCTGGTCTTGGACGTCCAGTCCATACTGTAACAGATTTAATACCTCTGAAAGGTTGGATACCCTCTGGGAAAGAGAAACCAGCTTTAGAACCATCTGGTTTAGCGACGATTAATCTCCATTTGCTGAGTGACAAACCATTATCATAATCACCATGGACTGAAAGTCTGATGAACTCTTGGTTGGTGTCGACAACGGCGAAAGTGACAGTGTTTGGATTGAATTTTTCTAATTCTTCTGGATCAACTTGAGCGGCGCTTGAGGGAATATCAGTTGAAATATTTGGGTCGGCGGTTGTTTGATTAACATTGGCGGCATTGTTATCATCAACTTTATTTCTCTTTCTCTTACGTTCGTTAACATTCTTTTCGAAAACACCAACAAGGGTTTTAATTTCTTCGATTTCTCTGGTAAGTGGGATATCTGGTTCGGTTTGTGAAGTAATACTGAAAATTTCGGATTTAAGTCTACTGATTTCAGCTTGTAAAGTAGCACATTTGCTTTCTCTACCATTCATTTCAACTTGAAGTAATGAAATTTGACTATCTTTATTTTTCAAATCAGCAGCTTGTTTTCTATATCTCTTCTTAGACTCTTCTAATTCATTATTTAATACACCAATAGAACTATCTTTTTGTGCAATAAGATCATTTAATTCTTTAACTTTATCTTCGAATTCATTATTTTTAATATTTAATTCATCAATTTGAGCACCATATAATGAAATTTGCCCTTTATATCTTTGTTTTTCCTCTATAATTATAAATAATAATTGTTAATATAATATTTTTTTATTTTTTTATTTTTAAACTGTATATTTACCTTCAAATGATTCAACAGATTGTTGTAACTCAAAGGTTCTTGCATTATGCTCTTCAACCATTTGTACTGCTCTAACCTCCCATTCTCTATTAATGCTATCTCTTATATCTTCGATTTGTCTTTCATGGGCTTCAATTAAATGTTTTAATTCATTTTCTTTTTTACTGCTGGCACTATGTAATTTATCCTAAATTTAAATTATTATTGCGTTAATTTACTATTTTAAATTATTTTTTTATTATTATTATATAAAAACTTACTTTTTCTTTTACTTCTACTTTTAATTTTTTAATTTCTTCATCTTTAATAAGTAAAACTTGATTAAACTCTTCTTCTTTTTCTTTCATTCTCTTATATTCATTTTCCAAAAGCTTTCTTGATTTATCTTCGGATTCACGCATACGATATTGAAGATCTTCCTTTAAACGGTTAACCTCAGTTTTAAGAGTGTCACTTTCATATTCTCTGGCAGCGATATCAGTTTTTAGTTGTGAAACAATAGTGGAATGTTCTTGATTGAGTTTATTAATGGTCTCGGTGAGCTTGGTAACATATTCATCTTGATCTTTCTTCCATGAGGCTTCTTTGGTTTTAAGTTCACTTTCGAGAGCATCACGGCTGGACATTAATTCGGATTTTGTTTTAATTTCTTCAATGAGTTGTTTTTCGACATGTTCGTTACGATTCTTTAAATTACCGATTGCAAGGCTATGTTCATGTTCCATATCATCGAGTTCTTTATTCTTTTTTTCAAGTTCATTTTCAGTACTTTCTAATTTCTTAAGACATAATTGAAGTTTACTCTTAATGTTGTTTAATTCATCCTTTTCTTTTAAACGTAAAGCATTTCTATTTGGTGATAGTGGTGTACCCATGTTTGATAATGATGGAATATATTTGGAGATTGGGGTGGTTGGGATTGATGTTGATGTTGTAGTGCCATTTGATGTGGTAGTTGTAGTGGTAGTTGTGGTGGTTTGTGATGGTTCAATTTCTGATTCTGTGGCCATATCATCAGCTGATGATAACGAAACTGTATTTGAAACTGGGGTTGAAACAACAACTTCTTTTGATTTACTTTTTTTTGTTGTAGTAGTTGCTTTACCCTTCTTTGTTTTGGTTGGTGCGACAGTTTGAACTTCTTCTTCGACTACTTTTTCTTTTTCTGCTACATCAACTGGTGATTGTGAACGTTTTGAGGCTGTCTTTTTTTTAGTACTTTCCATTTTATCTTTTATTATTTATATATATATATATACTAAAAAATACTATATAACTGTTATTTGAATAATAAAAATTTAAAAATTTAAAAAAAAAATTTTATTTTTTTTATTTTTTTTTATTTTATAATTGTGATGTGATTATTATTTAAAAATAATATTTATTTTAATAAATAGATATATGTATAAAAAAAAAAAATTTTACAAATCTAATTGTTTTTTTTTTTTTTATTACTAAATTTATTAAATATGTTTTATAATATGTATATTATTCGAGGGTGTGTAATGTATTTAACAAAATGTTATTATTATTTTTTAAAAAAAAATATAAAAAATAAAAAAATTAATACGAAATTATTTAGCTGTTAGAACAAAAAAAAAAACTAAAAAAAATTAAAAAAAAAATTAAAAATTTTTTTGAAGTATCTGAAAAAAAAAAAAAAAATAAAAAATTTTTTAAAAAAAAAAATAAAAAAATGCGCGAAAATTTTAAAATAATAGAAATTATTTTGACTTTATTTACAATGACACAATTGTAAATAAAAAAATTATTTTGTAAATGAATAAAAAAATAAAAAAATAAAATTAAAAACCATAATATACAAATAATACTTTTAAAAATAGTAAATTTTTTAAAAAAAAAAAATAAAAAAAATAAAAATAAAAATAAAATAAAATAAAATAATAAAAAAATTTTATTTCTTTTTTGGTCTAAAAAAATAACAAAACTAAAAATGAAATCATAGATAATATTTTTTTGAAAAGAAATATATCCCTAAAAACAATAGTTATAATGATTCAATAAAATTATACTTTTATATAACATAAATAGTTATATCATATTTTTTGCGAAATGGGAATTATTATTGATTTTTTTTTATAAATTTTTTTTTTTTTGATTTTTTTTTAAATTTTTTTTTTTTAATTTTTAAATTTTAAATTTCTTTTTTTTTTTTTTTTTCTTTATTATCGTTTTTAGTTTATATCACAAATATGTTATCTTCAAAACTTTTAAAATCATCAAAGGTTTTTGGTATTAGAACATTTGCCACTGTAAATATAGTTTAATTTTTAAAAGATAAAAAAAAAAGATAAAAAAGATTAGTTATTAATATTTTTTAAAAAATTTTTTAAAAAAAAAAAAAAAAAAAAAAAAAAAACCTTTTTTTCACACACTAATTAAAAATTTAAAAATATCAACAATAAAATCGATAATATTAATAATAATAATAATAAATAATGATAAATAATGAAATAAAAGAATACTAAATTATTCATCAATGGTAAATTTGTTGAATCAAAAACCAAAGATTGGATCGAAGTTAGAAATCCAGCAAATCAAGAACTTTTAACTCGTGTTCCAATTTCAACTCAAGAAGAAATGAAAGCTGCAGTTAAAGCTGCTGAAGATGCATTCCCAGCTTGGAGAGATACTTCAGTTTCAAACAGAGCTAGAATTATCAGTAACTATAAAAATTTAATCAATAAAAATATGGATAAAATCGCAGCTATCATCACTGAAGAACAAGGTAAAACTCTTCCAGATGCCAAGGGTGATGTTTTCAGAGGTTTAGAAGTTGTTGAACACTCATGCAATGTTGCATCATTAATGATGGGTGAAACTGTTGAAAATGTTTCAAACAATGTCGATATCTATTCATACATTCAACCATTAGGTGTCTGTGCTGGTATTACCCCATTCAATTTCCCAGCTATGATTCCACTTTGGATGTTCCCATTAGCTATTGCTTGTGGTAACACCTACGTTTTAAAACCATCAGAACGTGTTCCAAGTGCTTCAATGTTCTTAGTTCAATTAGCTCAAGAAGCTGGTGTACCAGATGGTGTTATTAATGTTATTCACGGTTCAAGAGACGCTGTCAACTTTATTTGCGACGATCCAGCCATTAGAGCTATTTCATTTGTTGGTTCAGGTGAAGCTGGTAACTATATTCACGCTCGTGGTACTGCCAACGGTAAACGTGTTCAATCCAACATGGCCGCTAAAAACCACGCTACCATTCTTCCAGATGCCCATAAAGAAAGAACTTTAGATGCTCTTACTGGTGCTGCTTTTGGTGCCTCAGGTCAACGTTGTATGGCTTTATCAGCTGCCGTTTTCGTTGGTGAATCTAAAAACTGGATCCCAGAATTAGTCGAACGTGCTAAGAAACTCAAAGTTTCAGGTGGTGCTGTACCAAGTACCGATTTAGGTCCAGTTATTTCCCCACAAGCTAAAGAAAGAATCCACACTCTCATCCAAAAAGGTATTGATGAAGGTGCCAAATGTATTTTAGATGGTCGTAACGTTCAAGTCGCCCCAGAATTTGCTAAAGGTAACTTTGTTGGTCCAACCATTCTTACTGACGTCACCACCGATATGGTTTGTTACAAAGAAGAAATCTTTGGTCCAGTCCTTGTTTGTCTCAATGTTGATACTCTTGATGAAGCCATTAAACTCATCAATGCTAACCCATACGGTAACGGTACCGCTGTTTTCACTGCTTCAGGTGCTGCCGCTCGTAAATATCAACGTGAAATTGATGTTGGTCAAGTAAGTGAAACTTATAATGATTTAATTTTAAAAACTAAAATATTAATTCTTTTTTTTTTCTATTTTTTCTTAAACTTAGGTTGGTATCAATCTTCCAATTCCAGTCCCATTACCATTCTTCTCTTTCACTGGTTCAAGAGGTTCATTCGTTGGTGCTGGCCACTTCTACGGTAAAACTGTAACTAATCAAAAATAATATTATTTGGTTTTATTTATTTTTTAATAATTTACTAATATGGTGATTTTTTTTTCTCTTCTACCCAGGGTGTCCAATTCTATACTCAAATTAAAACTATTACCTCCAATTGGAGAGATGATAACATCTCAACTGGTGTTTCCACCCACATGCCAGTTCTCGGTGCTGGTAAACATTAAATATTTGATTTCACTAATGTGTCCAAATATTTTACATAAAAATATAAACAACAAAAATAAACTATTAAACGTATAAAATATTAATTGTATAAAAACTTTGTTTTAAAAAAAAAAGAAATTTTTTTTTTTTTAATCTTCTTTTTTTTTTAAACATATCCTATTTTTTTAAAAAACAAAATATAATAAAGTAATACAGGGTCTAAAACTATAATGATGGATCGTATGGTAATTTAAATAAAGTCAAAAATAAAAATAAAGAAAAAAGATATTTTATAATTTATAAATATTTATAATTTTATTGTTTTATTTTTGGTTTTATATACATTTTAACTTTAAATAATTTCTTTTATTTAATTTGAATTAGCTATAAAATAATATTAATAAATAAATACTTGTTAATATTTTTTTAATTTTTTTTTATAAATTTTAAATAATTATATTTACCTTTTAATTTATTTTAAAGATTCTAATATTTTTAAATATAACTCGCTATTGATGTCTACTTCAATGTTATCAATATCGAGTATTTGATCAAGAGAAATATTGTTGGTATTGGATGTAGTTGTTGTAGATTTATTATTTATTATTTCAAACATTTTTTTTAAAAAGAATTGTGTGGTTTAAAATATATGTTTTTAGTATAAAGTAAATATTTTTTAAACAAAAACGAAACTTTAGATTAATATTATTCTAAAAATTTATATATAATAAATTACAATTAATAATAAAATATATTTTTTAATTTGAAAAAAAAAAAAACAAATATATAAAATTTAAAAAAAAAAAAAAAATTCATTAAAATAAAAATTTAAAAATAAAAGATTAAATAGGGCAAATTTAGTTTTTTATTTTATTTGGTAGTATGTGATATTGATTAGAGGGGGTGTGGGTGTGGGCGTGGGTGTAATGGTATTTTTTTATTTATTTTTTTATTAAAAAACAAACATTTAAAAATAAATTATTTAAAAGTTTTTATCAAAAATATTATCACATACTAAAATTTAAATAAAAAAAAAACATTAGCCACATTGATATGAATATCTATATCTCAAATCAATCAAATTAGATTAAATCTCGAACTTTTGTGTAGTTGTGTGTGTTTGCGTTTGTGTTTATGTTTGTAAAAATATTTTTACTTCTTTTTTTTTTTTATAATAATAAAAGTGTGGAAAAACAACCTTTTTATTTACTTTCGATCTATATGTGGGTTATTTAAAATAAATTTCCAAAGAAAAAAAGAAAAAAAAAAAAAAAAAAAAAACAAATGATTTTCGAAATTTAATCTTTATTGGAAAAAAAAAAAATTTATCCTTGTTTTTATATGGTGGATTTTTTTTATTTTTTGCCCTCGGTGGTGGTTTTTTTTTTTTTTTTTTTTTTTTTTCAATTATTTATGCTGGTGGTGGTGCCCAAAATAAAAAAAATAAAAATTTTTAAAAAATTTTAAAAAAAAACCGCCCCCTTTTTTTATTTTTTTTTTTTCTTTCACTTTTTTTTATAATTTTTTTTTAATCAACCCAATTTCTTTTATATTGCAATCAGCATAATCATTGTTATTCTATTGTAAGTTATAGTATACTTTATTTAATATTCTTTATTTATAATATAAAAAAAGAATAATAAAACTAATATTTTTTTTTTTTCCATATAAATTTTTAAAAAATAAATACTTTTTTTTTTTTTTTTTAAAATTTTTTAAAATTAGTCAATAAATTCTTTTTTTTTTTTTTTTCAATAAATAATAAAATAAAAATTAATATTTATATAATAATGAACCATGGTAAAAAAAATTAAAAGAGTTGACTTAACTTTACACATCGAGACCCAACAACAACAAGAGGGATCGGAATGTGATTGTATAATATGTATTAGAGGTTCGCCAATATTAAAAGCAACAATATCAAAATATGGCTTATGGAAACGTATTTTGGAGTTGGTAATATTTGTGTTGGTAGATTACCAGAAAGCAGATTTTACCCATTTTTTAAACACTAGTACCAGAGCATCGCAAATGAATCCAGAAAAACTCAGAATTATTCTTGCATCATTAGATTATGTTCATACAAATTCAATTATCAACTACGTCCAACAACACAGATTTTTGTTAAGACTTGAGCCATATTTCATTTCAGATCCACAATGGAGACATGCATTGGTTAAAGCATTGTCAAATCACAAAGAAATATTTTTACCAGGGTTAAATCGTGTATTTGCAAAACGTGGCTATTGGAGTTTAAGAGATCTTTCTGATCCATGGGAAAGAATCAAAAAGGATGAGGAGAATGAATTGGTCGCATCAATTCCAGATGGTAAGAAAGATTCACGTCTCTCACAGCTAAAACCACCAAAGGCTATCGTCCAAACAAATAGAAATAATACCTTGGGTCCTCATGGTACACGTTTAACAGTTAGAAAATATGTTCAGACTTGCAGTTTTGACAGAATTGAATTAGTATGTACCTCCCCTATTTACTGTAGATATCATGATCCATTAGAGTGTGTAAAAAAAGAAGGTTCTCCCGAACATTATAGTGATAGTGACGATGATGCAGACGAAGAGACCACTCCAAAAAAATCGGTTGCTAAAAAAAAAAAAGAAAAACCAATAAAAACCAAAAAAGTTAATAGTGCTAATAATAGTAAAAATCAAAATAATCCAAAAGGTCGAAATAATCAAGGTAATCCAATTAATTATTCTTCACCAATTTTATCTCCTTCATTTAATTCAAATTCAAAAACTGCACCATTAACTTCAAAACCAATTTCATTAACTCCACTAAGTATTAATAGTAATAATAGTAATGGTTTTTATAATAGTAGATCTGGTTTTAATAATGTCGATAATAATTACTCAGATGACGAAGATAGTGATGATTATGATAGTGATGATAATGATGATTATAGTAATAGCTATAATAATAATAATAATAATAATAATAATAATAATAATAATAATAATAGTAATAATAAAAATAATAATAATAATAATAATAATATGAATAGTTATAATTTTAATAGTAATAATAAAAATAGTAATAATTATAATTACAACAATAATATAAGTAGTGGTAATAATAATAATAATAATAATAAAAATGACTATAGCTTAAATAGTGACTATTTTAAAAATCTCTTTGGAAATGACAATAAAAAAAATAATAATGCTAATAATACTAATACTATGGATAGTCATTACATCGGTGGAACATTATTAGTGACAACTATGATGCAAAGAGTTCACTTTGATGCTTGCAGATAGTTTCCCACAG